GAAAAGACCAAGCAATTCGAATGAAAAATTCATGTTTGAATGGAACTCCATCGTGCACCGCCAAAATTTTAACATTATTGAAAATAATAGTTGGAAATTTATTACCAATATATTTGAGAGAATCAAACATGAATGGTAGTGAAAAGACATGACACATGGCACTACGATATCTGTAATTAACAATACAATCCACTTGTTCAGATATTATGTTAGTAAAAGTTCCTTGAATATCATCTCTAGATAAATGACGAATTAAACGATCCATATGTGTATCGGTACTAATACAAAAATAAAATGTACGAAGTCGTGGCATATGAACAAGAATTTCATTATAAATATGAGTACCATCGATAAATGCAGTTCGACTCTCGATAGTAATATGCAAAGTTAATTCTTCAAGATTTGACATATGACAAAAAAGAGGTAGAATTTGAGCATCATATTCATAAGATAAGCAATAACATTTTAAAGAGAAACATTTCAAATTAGGTAAATTATCCTAGAAAATATAAATTAATATTTATCAATATATTATTATCGATTAAAATAACAAAAAGTTCAGATGATTAATTAATTGAAAATCTGTTTTTATTTAATTCATTTTTAAAATATATCTTCTATTCTATGATATATAAATTTTCTTTTACATTGATGACTAAGACAATTATTTTGTTTTTCTAAACTTTCAACACATAAGAAATAATGGATATTGAGATAACTCGAAAATTTTCGTTAAGTTTATTATTATACCTATATTAGAAAAATATTATTTGTATAGAAAATAAGTCATATCTGAAGATAAATATGAATATTTGCATTGTATAAAATAATCAGAATTAAATCGAATCAATGTTGTCAACACGAAAAACTTCACTAAACAACTCATCGATTCACGACAAATGAAAGTTATCCCGATCTAGCTTTTCTATATTTCATAATCCTTATCTGTCCTCACTTATTATTCGCAAGCTTTTTACATTGTTTATTATAAAAATAACAGGAGTGACTAAAAGCAAAGGTTTTTTTTATAGCTGTTGCAGGGAAATTTAGACTGAGATAAGTTTGATCTCTTGTCGACTTCTCGAACAACTAGATATATCTTCAAAATATCTGAAGATAAACATTTTTAGTTTTATTTTTAACACATATCGTTTTTGAGTAGAAAATTACATGATTGATAAACCTAAAAACTCATCAAAACTTAATCATTTGTTTGTGTATGTGTCAATGAAACTCAATCATTCAATTTATTTCTTCCAAATAGACGAGTATTCATTTTACAACTATTTAATTACAGTTGATTCAAATAAATAGTAATACATTAGAAAAAAAAAAAGATCTATCTATAATAATATGAAAACAATTATTACTTTGATCAATAGTATTTTTTTTACGTTGAAAAGATTAATTTAATAAAATAAACTTACCATATTGTAAACATTCGATGAATGATATGCCATATCACCAATAGCAACAATCAAGGTAGTTAATTGTTGGAGACGACCATCAAGTAAAGCAAGAAAATCTAAGAAATTTCCGACACGAATACATAATTTGTAAAGAATTGAAGAGGAGAAGGTAATTAAAGGTAAATTACGAAGTACCAAAGGTGGAAAAAAATGGGGAAATGATCCAATAGATAAATGTTTTAAATTTTCGAAGAATTTCAAAATATATCCATAGACATCTGTTGTATAATGTTTAACTGATATTTCATTAAAATCGTTTTCGAATACAAGAATAAGATCGGTAATTTGTCGTTGAAAAATACGTCGAAATGGTGATTCAACTAAATAAAAAATAAATAATTATTGTCTAGTCTATCTATACAATAGTCTTTCATCTAAATCATTATGCAACGTTATTTACCTGTAAAATAATGTGAAACAATTTTGCCGTTAAAATTAAAGAGTTTAAGTTCAGTTAGATTAGGATAATCAGCAGCCAGAAGAATACGTTCCATAGATATTGAGTCAAGAATAAGAGATTTAATATTGTGATGAATTCTTGGCAATATATTTATGCAGAATCGATCAAGTATTGAATCAGTAAACGGGGAAATATCATCAGTTGATGTTGTTAATACAAAGTTGAGAGTATTAGTGAAAGTATTTTCTTGTACTATAATGTCAAGTCGTTGATTATCAACATCCAACAATGAATAAAGAACATCTATATTGTTGAGCTTTTTTAAAATAATAAGTAATATATCATAAGGTAAATCAAGAAGGCCAATGTTAGACAGATTCATGTTGAGTTTGACTAACACTTTTCTTATTATGCATATATATATAATATATATGTTCATTGTTCATTGGTGTCCGATGCTATTCATTGGATAAATGAATGGATGAGCTCACCAGAAAAAAATATATCATCAATGAATACACAAGTCGACATTCTTGTCTCAACTCTTTCCAGATTCTTTTTTTTTCTGTAAAATCTGTTACGATTCTTCTTCGTCTTGAAATTCAGTCAAGAGTCTTTTTTCATTCCACATAGAACGATGAAAAGAACTTTCCAGAATCGAAAAATAGACAATCATCCATTGTTTTCTATGTCTATATAAATTTCGTGTTCGTGCTTCTTCGTTCATTTCTACATTGAACATTTTACTGGTAACATTCTATTTGAATAACGTAAGTTAACTTTTAGATAAATGACTCTACATTTTCTTTTAAGGTTTTTTCATTTGTTCGAGGAAAATTTTATTAAAATGACTACGAACTTGTGATTTTAGCTTTTTTGTAACACTTTTCGATACTTTATTTTTTTTTTGTTATATTATCTTTCTGTTACTTTTTTTAATGTTTGTAATTGTAGTAAAAACTTCAACAATAAAATAATAACGAACACGAAATTATTACAGACCTGTACGAATATGAAAATGAATCACCAGAATCTTGCTAGGCTCTCCAAGATTTCTGTCTATTCTCTGATGAAAAAGAATCAGACTAGGTTTTCAAGAACTGCAAGATTCTTTCCAGATTACAGATTTCTTGTCTCGCCAGACAAGGTTCTGTCTACACAATTCTTGTCTGATTCACAAGATCTTGTAAGTCAGACAAGATTCTTACATTATATAGATAGAAAAAGAATCTTGAGAGATTTTTCTGCAATTAAAGAATCTGGAAAGAATAGCGACAAGAACATCGATTCGTGTAGCTTGATTAATTTACGGATGAGCATTTATTCTTTTTTTTCGTCTATCTCCGATATTATATTCATCGCTAGTCATTGTTCTAATTCGTACGATATCGAAGAATTCACATTCAAAGAAGGAAAAGACAATATTTATCACATAAAAAAGTGTGATTGAATTTTATTGATACATACTTACTATAACGAAGAAAAATTATACTTTTGTCAATATTATAGAAACTACTTTGTATATAAATGAGAAGTTGATAATTGAAATAATTTTCTAATTATTTATATTATTAGAGGTCGTCTCTGTCGTCGAAAAACTCATTTCAATTTTAGTTAACGTTGTCAGATCAAGAACAATTGAACATCTATTTTATATTTCTTATACTTTTCGATTTTTTATTTTGTTAAATTTCGTTCTAACTAAAGGTCTAATTAAGATAAAAATACTATAAGTCAAATAATAGTTGTATTGTTTCTTCATAGGCAATGTGTTTAACAGATAGAAGTCAATGTACCTCCCGTATTAGAGGATCCCCGGATCTTCTAATATGTCCGAGCGTAAAAACTCTCTAAGGGGGTCTTCTAATGTGACTTTCATGTAAAATTTTCAAAAAAATTATTTTGCATTCCATATTGCTGTTTCCACAAAAATTACTCTTGTAAACGGCTACTTATGAGATTATACAGTCATGAATAATGATGTGCTTATATGCTGCTTCTCGTACGGGTGATTTATTTTATGAAACATAGCCTAAAAAACGGTGTGGAAGCGTATAAGGAAAAAATTTGGACCTACTGCCCTCACTCTTCCCCTACAGACCAATGCAGATGCCCTGACACGCCATCACAGAGCGTGGCGGACACAGTGCATTTCTTCCTCCTCGCTACAGGCTGCAACGGACTTTGTTGATACGCGATCAAAAACCGTATGATACTAACATCCTATTAGAACATATGAACTACTTCTCTGTAATTCTAGAGGATTAATTAAAGAATGATGAAGCAATGCGCCTCAAAATAAATCAAATAAAACAATTTTCATATAATTAGCAACAAAAGCTATATCATGTTTCACATTTTATTCCGTGGAGATTGCGCTAGCAGCTTTTTCTAGTGTCATCAAAAAACCGCTTGTCCAATTAGATTTCTGTGACTGTCTCAAGTTTCGTCTTCCAATAATACGTTAATATCTATGGAAGTACCTAAAAATCGATCAAAGCTCTTAAAAACACAGAGTTGTGTACGCCCGTACTGAAAACATTACAAAGATGTTTTAGATGTAGGAAAAGATC